CATTTCATATCAGTTGTAACATATCTCTTTAAAATGAGATAAGGATTTGATTTATATAGAATATAAAGGGAATTCTATTTAGTGGTATATTGCCTCTTTCGCGTCGACGTACGATATGCGAAGCGAGACGCGAAATTCAGGTGAGATGCGAAACGAGTCGCGATATTGTATCGTTCAAATATCGCCCAAATACGGTGATCCGTAACATTTTTGTCTCCCTGAAACCGACATGCACGATGGTACAATGGTGATTTCAAGCGCGAAGGTACGATGATGAAGAAACAATGATGGCACGATGCTAAAATCACAATGATGCGATGACACGGTGTTGAAAATAATATCGCGTTTTCAACATAATGCCAATGCAGTTTCATCATCGTACCATCGCATTTTTATCACTGACTATCACGTTTTCATCATCGTGCCATCGCTGTTTCACCATCGAACAATCGTTGTTTTAAGTTTGTATAATCGTGTTTTCACCATCGTACCATCGCGTTTTCATCATCATGCCATTGTGTCATCGCGTTTTTACCATTGTACCATCGTGAACGGGGTTCCGTATGTTTCAGTATTTGCCTTCAGGTTTAGCCAATCAAATTCCTTGAATTAGAGATATTATAATTGATAGTTTTACTGTAGATTTTAGGTTTTAGATTTCATAAAAAAAAAACATTTGTAAACCTATTTTTGATTACATTTGACATAAGGTAAAACGGCAAACCTAACAAAAAATCTGCATGAGACAAATGTGCCTTCTTGTCCCTTAAAAATTCATGAGACAAATGTGCTTTCTGGTCCCTTAAAAACTCGATCGGAGCACATTTGTCACACAAATGAGATTTTTGGGGTAGACATTTGAGGTCCCATTTGTCTCACGTTGGACAAATGCGACCGCATCGGTCTTACGTAAGACAAATGTGCTCCGAGACAAATGTGCTCCTACAATTGTGTATCATCGTTTCTTTGTTTCGTGATCCTTTTATACGAGTGCATAATATATTAAGATACGTCGTCAGATAAAGAAAGAATAAAAGCTTTGCAACCACATAGAACAAATGTTCCCATTGCAAAATAGATATTGTATATGAGAAAAATACAAACAGCCGTGCATAAGTTGAAGAGGCTTGTGTCATACTCTTGAAAGCCATTCTTGAAAACTGCTGAAGAATCTGCAGATCCCTACGTTGTGTTATGGATAAAGTTTGTTAAACTTGACTTGGGGACGATTTGCCGCTTTTCATGGAATGGCACTAACGTGTCACGTTATAGGTTCCCAGATAACTGCCATATGAACACATCTGCGGATGTTTCAAAGTTCTAAATATAACCAGTTGATGTTAAACGATGAACTCTGCTTAAGCCGATGTTAAGGGAGCGTGGACGGTAGCTTTTAATAACCACTATCGTGCATGAACAGACTCAATCAAACCGAGCCTGCAACATTTACAATTTTGCCGTGTTGGGTTTTCTTTAGGGATTCTGTTTTTCTCTATTTTCTCTATTATTATTTTGAAGTGCGAATGGAGTGCTGGGAAACCCCTTCAATAACATATAATCTACATTACATTTATCTCTAACTTGGTGCATGACTAAGTTGGAAAAAATGTCGTTACAAGAACTGAAATAAAACGTGAGACATTAGCTACTGGCATAACTTTTAAATCAATTAAATTGAATCGATTGACTCATACCTTTTAACAAAAGATGTTTATCTGACAAATGTAAGTACATTCAAATTATGCTCATTTTTGTTATTCGTCATTATACGTGTGATAGGAGACCGTTTTCATAACAGATACCGAGTCCGAATAAGTACGCATACAATTTCATTTTAAGTTAATGAATAAATAAATAAATAAATAAATAAATAAATAAATAAATAAATAAATAAATGAATGAATGAATGAATGAATGAATGAATGAATGAATGAATGAATTAATGAATAAATCAATCAATCAATCAATGAATGAATGAATGAATGAATGAATGAATGAATGAATGAATAAATAAATAAATAGAATAAATAAATAAATAAATAAATACAAATTAGTTAATTAATTAATTAAATTGCTGATTATGATAATTTCTTGATCCAAATATATATGTGTGCAATTAACGTGCTTTTTTCAAATGCTATTTGTCTATAGCTCAATGTAATAACCACTGTAAACCGCTACCATTTATTTGAAACTTTTGAGTGGAGTTTTATATGTTTAGTCATCAGATACACGCAGTTGAAAAAGACCGCCTATTACATGTATATACTCTTTGAATAGTTCCCAAATTTGAAAGCAGCAAGACACTTTAATTTAAAATGGTCACAACTAGAAGAATTTTGAATCATTCAAGAATACTGCCAGCAATTAGTAAAGTAAATGTACATATTGCATAGAAATATAATCATAAGATATGTTTATCTAATCGAAGTGAAAAAAATAGTTAATTCCGAAAATGAAAAGTAAAATTGTAGTAAAAAATTGAATATACATGTATGTATCATTATAAAGGAGATACAATAATTGTTCATTTTCATTTAAAATATTTGTTTTACATTTCGAAAAAACGACACGAATATAATTCAATGGTATAATTTATATTCCGAAGATTCTTTCTTTCAATTCTACGTTAAGTGTCAATTTCTATATTCGTCTGTGTAGAGATTTTTTTATCATTGAATATATCACCTACTTTTAAAATAATTGAAAAGGCAGCTTTTCATGAAATCTTGTTTTGATATAGAGTATAAAGGTCGGATGAACTCTTAAAAAGACACTTCAGTTGGTATTTTAATGTATTAACATGTAGCTGACATCGAGTCAATAGACCGAGCAGTCAGAAGAGAATGTTACACAGACCGGAACGGTTGTTGTTATCACAAATCAATGTACTGTAGATAATTTTTAATATTCCGTCTGTTTAGAGTTTTAAAGATATACTATGCTCAAATTAAATATTCAGCAATATTGATAATTACTAAACCGTCTCTTTGTAAATATATAAATAAACATGTTTTGACTTCACACAAAGTAGATATGTTATGTTTAAAAGTAGATATGTTATGTTTAAAATTCAATGCACTATAGGTGGTCACAATATGAATATAAAGGCGTGTCATTAAAACAAAAAACAACAAAAACTAGCAGGTTACTTAACGTTAATGGCTAGTGAAATTAGGCATCATTGAAAAGTGACATCGCTAGTCTGTGTGCATTCGAGTTGGTATAAATGGTGTTCGGTTAATACGAAATACATTACGGAAAATTGTACATCTAAATTTAACAGTCATAAATTATACAGTGGATAGGATAAATAAATTCTCATAGGTATACTGAAATATCTGCGCATGATATGAATATCTAATATAAATTTGATACACAATACAATTATTGAAGGATATTTTGCGACCATCATTTACATATGTGTATACGTACGTTCCGGATAGTTTTCCGAATATAATATCTTTAAAATAGTGATGTTATGTATAATGCCTGTATTAAAATTTTCAAAGTTTAAAAAGTACAATATCAATTATATCTAAAATATAACTGAGTAAGAAATATAAAGGGCATGTTGTACTGAGGCTAATTTTATTGACTCATTTCCTGCATTGCATAGGTTAAAGCAAGTGAACGCTCCCCCCCCCTCCTTACATCGGCTTAATCAGTATAATTATTGTGTTATTAAGAGGTTAATTCAAATGATGAAAACTTGTTGACAACGTTTTTTTTTTGTATTTATATAAAGCAAATTGCTGATGAAATTATACTTTTATTATATTAAAGAAATGTATAAACAAAATATATTCTGAAAATATATGTATTTGTTTTTTCCCCTTATATAATTTATTATTCAATTTTGCTATATCATAGCGTTGTAGAGTAAAGTAACAAGTATCCCAGATATATTAAGATTTGAATTGTTTGTATGTCCTTGCTCGTGTGGTACCCCTTTTGGGTGCCGTTGCTTTTGGATGTGTCGGGTCTGTGTTCCGTAAACGATTCTCCCCCTTGTTGCTTTTTATTGTAATAATTATTGTAATATTTATTGTAATATTTATTCTAATATTTATTCTAATATTTGATACGCGTAATTTTTAACATGTTATTTTGGAATCGGTTAAGTTTAAGATTTTCTTCGAGTCATTAAAAATAAAACCTTGTGAAAATAAATTGATAGTGTGCTTTGTCGAGTTTTACGATTTAAAACATAGTTTATCAATAAAATTAAAATTCATTTGTTATAAGTATATCCCAGTTGCACGGCATAAAAGTAGAATATAATGTATAACAGTTAGTTTAGTATATTTTTCTTCATAAATCTCATCGTCTTTATCAATCTCACACAACTTATTTCAAGAACTGGAATAGTATCAATATGTTTCATTTGACGGCATACATTTCTTTCAAATTAACACATTTTTCACACAGTCTTTTTTTAGTCGGTATGCAACAAAAAACCGTTATCGACTTATAAAACTATTGACTTTTCTACCATTTTAACCCCTGAAAGATATATAAACCTATGGACAGACTGTAAAGAAAAGAAACATTTAACAGACCAAAGCTACCTTTGTCGGTAGATTCACATCTGCTATATAAATAAAAAGACAATAATACATATTTTACTAAGTCTTACAAAATAAACAAAAACACAATATATTTCTATTAAATAAACACAATTTATATAATGCATAAGTAACCTTACACAATGTCTTGTGTATCAATCTAATTTAATTTAAATGGTTGTTCAACATTGCATTACAAATAAAAGCCCTATCATAGATCTTATGTTGTAATATCAGACAATCTACCTTTAAGCCAATTTTAGAACTGACATTAAAGGACGCAAATATCACTGATCATTCATCGGTGAAATTTTTTTTATTGAAAACCGATAGAGTTCAATAGACGTTATTTATACAGGTAGTGTTTGCTATTATAAGTTTTGCACAACGTGACACTTACTGTTTAAAAAATACAATTGATATAATTTCCTAAAATAACGAATTGGTACATCGGTTAAAGTTTCAAGTTAAGCATGAAACGCACTACCCGTGCCTTAAACGAGGTTGTAGATGTCGACAGTCAATGTTAATGTGCGATCGTGAAATATATATAAAGCAGTTAAACCGTACACAACAACTCTACCGGGGTATATCATTACAAATATGGACATTTAAACAATTAAGATTTTTCAAACACCTGTGACGTGCATGTTGACTGTATTCGCTTATTAAGGGAGAAAATAGTGTGCCATTGTTTTGCTTTTTTTTTCATGTGGAGTTAGATATAGCTTGACTTCTTAACAGGTATGCTTTGATACGTTAAATCGATAGTTTCATTAAGGTAACAGTTCATGCGTATGGAAATTGGCAAAATGTTAGACAATGCTATTGATAGTTAAACTGAAGTTTTACCTTTGATTTATATGAACCCGTTATTAATTCTAGTATATCTATATTAATTATTATTTGAAACATATTTATAACGCTGTACTTTTATTTGCGTTTAAAGTCATGAGCATAAGTTTCGCTTAACTGCTTATTGATTATATTATGATATAAAAGCTCTGTGTCACGGGTATTATAACACTTTCGCAAATTACAAAACGGTTTTAATTCAGAAGAACATTTTATACACCAACAAGTGCAAAGATTTAAAAATAACATGCTAAAATCATAAAAGTTGTATGCCAATATAACAATATCATAATTGACAATTCATTCAAAGTAGGTCATGCATGCATATACAATTTCGTACATTCAACCCTGTGTTGAAGTCAAAATAAGACCCGGGTGGATTGAATTACTTCAACAAAAGGTTAATTATGGAGTAAAGTATGCGACACGTGGACAATTTTAATCAAATGAAACTTAAAAAGTTTGAATCATTTCGCTTGGTATATTGCAATGTCACAAAGGGTCAGGCCGTTCTTGTTTGTCATCTTATTTAATATATATGGTGATATTACTTTAAGAATTTTAAATTGTACAAAAAATGCTTACACATAGTATACCATTTGATTTTGGTGGATAGAATACACGAAAAGACCTCTTTTCATCCAATTACCGGAAAATATTTTTTATCCAATACCCTGAAAAAACCCTTTTTTTATCCATTAGTGATAGGTATATATATGTATAGAGTATAAGGTCAATCAATTCTATGTCAGATAAGATTGAGGAGGAAAATACTACTGTATCAAGAGGCAATGTCAAATGGAACTTTAATCAGACAATGCCCAAAATTTGCAAGTAAGTCTTGTAAGCATTGTTGCAACCTTGTACTTGCAAATAATGAAGTTAACAGACCACCAAGACCATACATACACAATTATAAACCATTATTACTACTCATTGCAGGTGGAAACGACCTTAAATATTTTACAGTTTCTAACATAAACGCTCATCAAAGATATCCTACTTAATGTGTCTCTTAAACTTGCACCAGATTAACGATAAATCATGCTCAAATTTGATGTTTGAAAATATTGAAAATTGCTACACAGTTTCTCTGTAAATATGAAGTCAACATGTTTCGAATTCACACAGAGTAGACATTTTAAGTTTAAAACCCTATACAATATAGGAGGCCACTATAAGAATAAAAAGTGTCATTAACATAACTGGCAGTTGTTTTTTTGTGTGTTTTTTTTAAGAAATACCAACTTTACTTGACCGGTAATGCAGCTTCCCATACAAAATGTTAACATTTTTAAAATTCAAATTAGACATATTTCGCGAGAAGTTAATAGATTTCAATAAATTTCTGCGATAGAATTATTTTACCCAAAGATGAGTATAGTATATCTTTGGTGTTTGGATGAACATCACGGTTTAAAATGTTATGTAGACAATATAGGCTGTTGCCTATATCACAGCCTTTGAAGTGTTTATTAAATATTTATAATAAATACATTATCCTTGCCTCCAGAAATCTTTAATGTATTTTGAGAATTCAAAAAATCTTCATACATGTAATGTATTATTCGTGTAATTGATACATATACTCTCAAATATGTGTACCTACTTTTAATATTTTGTAAACAAAACTTAAATGCGAAGGTGTCATTTATCAGTATGCACAACCTTTTTAAGAGCTACAGGTCCTTTTTAGTTTTAGAAATAAACAAATGCACATCCGCATATATCAATTTAACACACAAATGTACACCCGTTTATATATAATAAGAACAAGTGTTTAGATATGTTTCAAAAACGAAATGTTTAAAAATTGTACATTATCAGACAAACTATTTGGCAGTGTCACTAGAAATAGTCAAGAGTGAATTTTGCGATAATATTATCTTGAAGTTCAAAGCTATAAACTGAATTTTTGACCTTCGATCTTCAATATCAGTGCTATCTTCCCGATACTAAATATTATCATTACATGGCATATTAAAGATACTGTTGTCAAATGCATGCATTCCGTTCAGATAGTATGCAGTGGTTTTTAAATGAGTTGGGGTTCCGACCAGTAACACTAAAATATCATTATTTGAGCTACAGTATATTGTTATCCTTTTATTCATAGCTTTGAACCCACCCCAATTAAAAAAATATATTAAGTAAAATTGACTTGGGAAATAATTGGAAAGGTGTTAATAAAATAAGTTTTAAGGAACAATAACCTAAATGTTCACAATATTAATATAACGGAAATTGTTACTATTAAAGTCAGAAGGGGACATTGGCATTTTTGTGCACCTCTTTCAAAATAATATAAATTAATGTTCGCTTAACCTACAATCATAATCAAAGTAAAATATTGAAGGCTGAAAAAATAATCAAGCTTAATCGAACAAAAAGACAGCAAACATGAACCGAAAGCAGTTTTTAATGTTACATAAATTATATTTCTCCATGTCCCTTTATCATTTAGTTGGTCGAATGGTAAGAAAATTGGGACACTTCTGTTACGTTTTCATACATACATTTCGTTACTAAGTTATCAAAGCTAACACATTGTCTCTTATGTTTTTCATTATGCACAAACTGTCAAATATATTTATAATTCTGTTTCAATGTTAAAATTGCGTGCCATTTTTCTTTACATAAAAGTATCATTTCTGTCCACTGTATACAAAAGAAATAGCCTTCCTTCTTCTTTTTTCCTCTAATTATGTCATGTATTAACAATTTCTGGATAGATCTAGTAATTTAACATACAGTTTGTTTAGCAATTTGATGTAACTGCTTCTTGATTGTATGGGGGTATTACACATTTGTTTCATAAATATACAGAAACGTTTTGACTCTCCACATACTTGATACTTTAAAGTCTACAAACTTAATATTTAATATTAAATTATTTACTATCATAGTTTTTTGTTAGTATAAACCTCACCTTATTAACTGCTGCTTGAGCATCATTCTACTTTTTTTATTCATAATTGTCACCTCTTGTGTCATGTTTATACATGGAATGAGAGAAATAAATAGTTTTTGACTTAAGTTTATAAGAATTTATTTTAGTTCAAATGTGTTGAAAGCTATAAGCTTATTGAAAAAAAAACTCAAATTCATTTCTTGAACCAATCAGTACTAAGCATTGCAAGACGTTGAAAGTTTCCTGCTAACGAAAACAACGGCTTGCCCCTACACGCGGCTAGCAATGTTTAGATTACTAGTTCGGCACATTAACCCCTCGGTCATGCCGCCACTCAGTTTTTAACTTTCACGTGACTAAAATCTTTTTCAAAATTACGATACAAATAATCTCTGGATGGTTATTTAAAAAGTATACTTTTCATTGATGGCACACATTTTATTCCTTGTCGCTGAACTTTGCACTACAAAATGTACTTTAGACAGTATACAGTTTTAAATTACACCTCTTTTATAAAAGTAATAAATGTAATTTTCGATATCAACGGTTGACCAGTTTTTCTAAATTGGGCGGTGATCACAATTTCGAGTTGCGAGTGGATCAATATAAACACATTTTCATTCAGACCAATCATGATTCTTCTGACAATAAAGGTCAATGTCAAGGACGATCAAATAGACGTCATTTATTTACCTTGATGAAGTTCAAATTTGCGTTCTATTTGATTTGCTTTGTTCTTTGTTATGTTTTGCCTTCCGTTCTTCATTAAATTGTTCATTTGATATCTCTGTTTACATTATTATTTTTTAAATATATATATTACGTGGATATTAAATGACATATGAATTCACTGACTTGCGGTTGGCTGCAAAGAAAAATGTTTTTTTAATGATATTGAATGTTCGTAAATACATGTGTTTCTGCCTCAACAAAATTTAGAAAATTGTCAAATTCTGGATAGTTAAATGTGCGCCGTCTTAAACCATTTTGTTAAGTTACTTTTCAATTCTTAAGGGTTCGTATTTTTGTCCGATATTTGCCGCAACATTGTATTATTCTTATTGATATAAAGTGTGAAATATCATAGTTATTTTTATTGACTTTCTTTTGAAATTGATCAAACTATGACTTAGGTTAAAAATAAATGTATACATACGCCATCAATTTTTGCTGTTAAAAAGGAACCTAGCTGGAAACTAAATAACATTTTCAAACTATTATTGTAAATATTAGACGCACAGAAATAGTTCTAACGGGTATAAAACCTACGTAGACATACATGTTTAAATGCAAAGCCGCTGATATGTAAAGTTAAAATCTGTACATATGCAATGGAAATCAATTAATATACGATTTTAACTTATTAAATTCATGGTCATAGGGCGTTTAATTCTATAGCTAAAGATATGAATAATGTTTAACTCATTATTGATATTTTTAGGATGTAAACTTTCTGGTCACGAAAACTATGTTCACTATTTTAATAATTCAAATCATGTACTGTTTTTATACCTTTCAGCCTCTGTGTAAAACTGCCTTTATTGCTAAACCTTTGGGATTAAATTGTTTAATTTTCCTACTAATATAAAAAAATATGAAGGAATAAACATTACCAGGGGGAGCGACGCTCAAGAAACGCCGCACCAACAAAACCCTGCCACACATTATCCAAACATTTATGTTGACAAAACGTCTAATATTCTAGTATATAAATCACGTTTTCTTTGTTTACTCTAAATATAGTCATTGTTTATTGGAAACGTACATAATTGTTTATTGAACACAATCATTATATTTTTGAAATCTGATGTATTTTGAAATAATCAGCTTACTGGACATCAAGTGTAAGGAGTCTAAATGTTCTTGCTGTCGGAAAATACATTTTGAGACTCGTTTGTTCGATCGTCTCTCCGTGCGTCAGTCTAGGCAAACATCAAATGGTTTATGAGCTTAATTCTATCCATAATCGTACTTGAAC